CCCCCTTTCCTAAACCAACAGCATAAAGCAAAGCCTGCAAAATATCAGCAACAAAAATATCACCCACACCACCAAGTACAAAACCATAGACTTTATTCATCCATATGAATCGACTCCTTATCCATGCTAAGATACTCAAAAGTGTCCATATTCACTTGAAACAGCTAAAATAAGGCCGACGATTACACTAGTGCGTTTGGGTACACCCATTGCTTCCTATGCTCTATCATTTTAACAGATTAAAGGACAGAAAAGAACTGTTCCGAACAAAAACAGAGAATTTAAAAATGTCTGGATGTGGGATAGATGTGCATTAATGTGATAAGCCTCATCAAAATGGTGACTGGAATTGTTTGAGATAGAAAAGGTTGAAGCGAACAATATATTATGTAAAAAATGGAAGTGTAATAATGACAGCTAGTGTCAATAAAGTGCAGTTAAATGATGGTGTGATTGGCTATTAGAAAGTAAGAATGAGTAATAGTGCACTATTCACCATTCGAAAGTCAGCTTGGTATCTCTCTTACATGTTTTTTACTGATTTCTCCTACATCTAACCATCCATTATTGGATCCCCAACAACAGTCACCTGATAAGTATTTTACTGCAAATTGATCATACACTGTTCGCCTACATAGAAGACATTACAACATATCAACACGTACTTCAAATTAAATTAAGCAGGAAAACTGTAAGATAGAAAAGGTAAAATTTACTACCTGAGTTGCAAGCACACCACTAATTTGAGCAGCAATGCCCTGAACCCCTCTCCAGAGAGAATACTCGAGGTAGTCACTCGTAACACTCTCCGGAAACCCCTCCGGGAGCATCACGCTCTCAACCAAACCCCTACATTTAATCCAAACATCTCCCAAACTCAACCCATACCTAGACTTGTCGCCGTTTGACCACCAAGCCCACAAGCTATCGGGAACGATGAACTCGTCTTTGGAATAATCTGGGACTAGCTCAACTCTCTTTCCGCCCCTGATCTCGAACAAAGCTTCCTCGTGATTATCTGATAAATCCTCAGCCTTTGCTCGCGCCTCGGAAGGCGAAAAGACCAAGTAGCTTAAGAAAGCTGATATGGAAATGAGTAGCCCATTAACGTGTCTGGGTAGATATACGGAATACGAGTCTTCTCTGTCGCCAAATATGAAGTGAAAGGGCAGGAGAATAAGCGCTTTCCCGTCAAAATTGAAGAAATTGTTGTTGCTCCAATCATCCCCGCCGCCGCCGCCGCCATCATCTCCGCTTCTTCCATCGCCGCCGTCGCGGTCCCCGTAGCAGTCGTAGTAGCTGAGGGGTGAGACGGAGTAAGTGAGTGGAGTGAAATGGGGGAAGCGGTTGGGCTTGAGCAATTGGAAGTGAAGAGCTAATCGTTTGTCTGTGCGGTGGTGCCGGGAGGGGAAGGCGATCAATCGGGTAGAGGTTGTAGCGGGGAACGTGGTGGCGGTGGCCGTGGAGGAGGGCGGTGGGGTGAGGGAGGGCAGGTTGCAGGCAGAGCAACCCATAACTGCGGCGCGACTCGGGAAGTCGATTGTATCAAATTTTCAGCTGCAAATGTTTCGCACGGTATACGATGTCGTTTTTCGGAAAGCAGTGGCGCAAATGGGACATATTATGAAACAAGTCCTTGTTATAAAACGATTTTTATTGAATTTCTTGATTATATTTATAGGAGAATTTTTTAGGGGGGCTTATTTATTTTAAAAAAAAAAAAAATTAAGTAGACAAAAATAAAAAAAAAATGGATGGAAAAAAATCAAACACACGTATTCTCGGAATACGTTTTCCTAATTAAAATTAATTAAGAAAAACGTATTCCCCGAATACATTTTTATATTTTTCCTAAATTAAAAAAATAAACACAAAATTCATTTAATTTTCAAATATAAAAAAAAATAATAAATATAACACGTATTAACGGAATACGTTTTTAAATAACGAAAAACGTTTTTAAAAATATGTTTTTAAACTGCCATTAACCGTATTCAAGGAATACGTTTTTTAACTAAAATAGCTGAAGGTAACCGTATTCTGGGAATACGTTTCTTGACTAAAAAACTGTCGGTAACCGTATTCTCGGAATACGTTTTTTGAATTAAATATATAAAAAAAATTCTTCCATTTCATTTGCGCAGAGAGCAGAGAGAGAGCAGCGAGCAGCGAAACAAAAGGAAAAACAAGCGAAAACAATCGGAAAAAAAAAACGCGATCCAATTCTCACCCCGGCGTGAACCGACAACAACGACACGAGACTCCTTTCCGATTAATTCATTCGCACGAGGTATATTGGCTTATCTTAACTTTTTACAATGTTTGG